AGGTTAGGTTAGGTTAAGGTTAGGTTAGGTTAGGGTTAGGTTAGGTTAGGTTAGGTTAGGTTAGGGTTAGGTTAGGGTTAGGTTAAGGTTAGGTTAAAGTTAGTTTAGGTTAGGTTAGGTTAGATTAGACCAAATGTGTCARGTGTGAATCCACATGAAGAATCCTGTATTTAGCAGCCTTCTGTTAGAAAACAAAAAGCTGAGAGTTAACTGACAGCTCCTGCAGAGAAACATGAGCTCACTTTTCATCTGTTCAGCCACTCGGTCCTGATTCTGAGCTGGGGCATTTTAAATAAACTTATTTTTACAGCAACCAACCATAAGGCTTCAGAAAGGGTCCAACTTTTAAAGTGTCGTCTCAGTTGTTACTACTTCTGGTAATAAATAGCTTCAGATGACTGATGGCTTCAAGAACATTGTCTTTTCAGTAACACTTTATTTGAAGGGGTGTGCATAAGACAGTTATGATGCTGTCATAAATGTGACATAACACCTGTAATAAACTCAAACAAGTCTCATGAATGTTTATGACTGTTGTCATTAAGTGTCATTTGGTAAGTTGTGACACTTTTATTGCAAAGTTGACATTGTTAAAATGTCTGTTATGACAACTTGACATTAACCAAGAAATTATAACGTTATAAAAGCTATTAAGGATCAACTTTAACATTTTATTACACTGTCATTTGTTGTTAGTCTTAACTTTGGCTGTCATGAGACCAGTATGTGTCATTAATATTTTCCTTTACTTCAAGTAAAGTGGAACATGTTAGACTAGTTATAAAGAAGTCATTACACAGACAAACACTTATAAATACTTGTCAGGACATACTCTGTTGTATTTACATTGTCAGGAAGTAAGGAGATGGCAAGTATTGTGCAAACCACATAAAGTGTATCTTGTCACTGGTCCATTGGTTTTGTTTGGGTGTTTCTAAGCATTTGTCAGTGTACTAACACTTATTGATATCTTTATAACTAGTCTAATGTTTTACACTTTACTTGAGGCAAGAATACATATTACTGACTTTGTTGTTAAAGCATTTGTCAGTGTAATGACACTTAACATATTTATAAATAGTCCAATAGTTTACACATTGAGGCAAGAGAAAATATTAATGACTATGTAAAAACGATAGAGTAGCTCTTGACAAGTTAGAGTATTTATAAGCATTTGTTGGTGTAATGACATCTTTATAACTAGTCTAACATGTTACACTTTACTTGAGGTAAGGAAAACAATAATGAGACATGTACTGGTCTCATGACATCCAAAGTTAAGACTAACAACAAATGACAGTGTAATAAAATGTTAAAGTTGAAACATAATAGCTTTTATAACAGGTAATGATTTCTTGGTTAATGTCAAGTTGTCAAAACAAAGACATTTTAAACAACGACAACTTTGCATTAAAAGTGTCATAATTTGCCAAATGACACTTCAGGCCCCCACATACTCAGGCGTACTTTGCTCCATGGTGGTCCGCGCGGTCTCAAGGCGGACTCGAAGCGGCCGTCTGCCGGACTGGTCCACGCAGATATCAATTTTTTTTACGTCCGTGCATGCGTTTTCGCACAATTTACTGCCTGGTGAGTTCTGTTTTGGAGCCGATAAAGTTGAAAATCGGTGTCATTTGTCGACAAAATGGAGTCAAATTTTGAAAAGTGTCTCATGGAGGAGATCAGAAAACTTTATGATGCATCAATGAAGGAACATAAAGACTCAGTGAGTAACAGATCTGTGGTAGGAAATAGTTCAGATCCTGGATAAGGTAGTTCTTTTCTTTTTTCTTTTGTTGTTTTAAAGCTAAAATGCAAACTATTTCCTCCTCCTCATCCTTGACACCATGACTGAAATTGTGAGAAAATAAAGAACTTGTCAGGCGGACAGTACGCTCCAGTATGAAGTCTCAAACATTCGTGGACGATAWGCGTGGAGTCCGCCAGGCTCAGACTGCACACATTACGCCTGAGAGCGTGGGAGGCTTTAATGACAACAGTCATAAACATCCATGACACTCACACAAGTTCATGACAGGTGTTGTCACATTTATGACAGCATCACAACAGTCTTACACACACCCCTTCAAATAAAGTGTTACCGTCTTTTTCTTCTGTCCACAGCACCTTTCCTGTCATTTTTCTGCTTGCTGTTGAACTCCGCTTAGATCTCAGCTGCAGGTTTAAAACAAGTTTCTTTCAAAGGAAAACATTTAGATCTATCTGCTTTTTGAATTCTGCTTCAGATAAAGTCAGATGTTTCTAACCTTGTGTGACAAAGCTTTACAGTCTGTGGGGATCAGACTGAATATATCATCTTTAATATCTGAGTATGTTTCTGTCTAACTGGGTCCAATCTGTCAGAATGTAACTTTCATCTGGGTACTTCATGTTTGTGACCAGTGCTTTCCTCTCTGGTCACCATGTGCTGCTCAGGATGGGAGCTGGTGATGAAGTGATCCAACACAGTCTGCTGCTTCTTTAGATTGACAGTTTTTCTACAGACACTGTGTTTTGACTTGGTGCTACTTAAATGAACTGAACTGATAAACTGTGTTGATGTTCTGGTGTTGTTGGACCTGTGGTAGAAGGCAGCTCCTGTCAGGACCATAGAGTACTCATTGGTCCATTTAGACGTATAGCCCCAGGCATGCTTCAGGGGATCCCAGAAGTGGCTCCGGGGAGGATAGCCGACGATCCGGTCAGGAAAACTCTGCCACACCAGGAAGGCAAAATTCACCTAAAACACAAAGATGCTGCAGCTGTCAGAACCAGACCAATGCTCTGGAGGACATCTATCAGAACCAGCTGCTTAATGTGTGTTCCTCACACTAACCTCACTGGTCTGCAGGACCGTATCCTCGTCCAGACTCAGCACAGCCTCCGTCTCTGTGGCAACATGAGGTAAAAACCGGCTGGTGGTCTGTGGGAGAAACTGTGTTGAGTCCTGACTGGAGCACAAATAATCAGACAATTTACTTTAATCAGGCAAACAACCTGACCCAGATCCAGTTGGTTAACTGGTTCTGGGTCTGATTGTTTAGACCAGTGAACTGGTTCTGGGTCTGATGGTTTGAAACCCTGAACTGGTTCTGGGTCTGATTGTTTAGACCAGTGAACTGGTTCTGGGTCAGATGGTTTGAAACCCTGAACTGGTTCTGGGTCAGGTTTCTGAGTCCTGACTTGTCTTCCAGATGTCACAAAGACTTGTTATTGGCTCTGACCTTCCTCTTGCCATCTGTGATGATGAGGGGGACCGGCATGGGGGGCCATTTGCTCCTGATGGGAGGAGGTTTCTCACTGTTCCACAGAATGATGATCTGAAACAGAAAAACAGAGTTGAAATCTTGTGATCTCACCTCCAGTTCAAGATGTTGAAGATGGAAATATCCAGCATGAAATCAAAAGTCCAGTCCTTCATCGTTTCTCTTCTCTTCCTGTCTTCATAGTCCTCACATTCAAGCCCACATTTGGATCTTCAGCTCTCTCAGATCTTTGCTTTGGACACATTATTAGAAATTTATTATGTATAGTTATTTTTAATGGAATTAATAGATTTTTGAGTGAAAAAAATCCTGTCTGAAATATAATCTTAAAGAATTTTTTGAAATACTTTTTAGAGTGGTAGCAACAAAAATATATTTATTTTGAGCATAATCACCTTAAATTTTTCATATTTTCTTGCATCCTATAAGCTTTTGTTTTTCCAGCTGGGAAATCATAATATCCAAAAGCTATTTGAGGTTTCCTCTTTAAATTTTTATTTTATTTTAATTTTTTGTTCTGCACTCGCAGGAGTTAGACACTTTCCCCTTCTCTCCTGCCCTCCCTTATCTTTACCTGCTTTGCTGCTCGGAGCCTCCTCTACGATTTTCATTTGAAACCAAAAATCATGGATTTATTTTTATGGATTTGGTTAGCTGGGCTCTTAATAAATTTTTGGAACAAAGTTTTCTTCCATGGGAGGACATGTCAAAGGTGGGACCTCTGTTCTGGATACATATTTGGATTCTGATCACTGGATTCTACAGATTGGTTTGGCGGTCTCCTGGTGTTCTAAAGAACAGTCTTGGTGGCTGTTCAGACCCTTTCCTGACTGCCTGACCAATATGAAGTATTGCCGTGCTATCAGCACACAGCCTTGTGGGAGCTGGGACAAGGTCTGCAAGCAGTTCTGCTGAGGGTCGCGGGCCGGCTGTGGTTCCTGGACTTTGCTGGCCAGATGGAATTGATCTTGGAGAATCTGGTAGCTCTGTGGAACTGTCCACACTATTTGTCTGATTGGAGTCACCACTTTGGGATGTACCAGCAGACATTAAGGCAGATAAATGGTAAATGGACTGTACTTATATAGAGCTTTTCTATCCATCCAGGACACTCAAAGCTCTTCACWCTACAAYCTGTGTCCTCATTCATCCATTCACACAGCACTCTGTTAGCTCTCTACAGAGCTAACATGTACAATCATCTATGGAGACTAATCAGTGCCAATCACATTCAGACACTGATGGGACACATCAGAGGCACTAGGCCTGATGTGCCTTGCCCAATCCCCTGAAGGTCAGCCTGGAGCTGCACAGAATGAACAATTCAACACCACTATTCTGAACTTTGGCTGAACTACAGGTTTTTCTTTTGGGGGGCTGGATTCTTCGGACTCTTTCCCTCTAAACTCACTTACTCCTCTGGATAATAAATGTGCTCTTGCTCTGAAGAGTTTTTTTAATAAACACCATAGTGTATCATATTTAATTGATATAATACGATGTTTTAGTTTTTTTCCTCATCTATCCACGTGTGGTATTTTTGTTTTTCTTTTTAAAGGTAGCGCGACCTCTGCTGTTTGCTGCATGACCTGATCACCTGTTCCCCCATGTTTTTGTCATATGTATCTTCTTGAATGGGTATTCTTTTTTTAAACCACTTCAGTAGAAAGCAGTACGAAATAAAATATCTGAATATTAGTATCTTAGCTTCTTCATCATCAGTGTTTTTAGATAGACAAGAAAGAAGACGAAAGAAAGGTAAAAGAAGGAAAGAAAAGTTACTATGTAATGGAAAAAGTGAAAGAAAGAATTGATGATTTGTGAGATATACGTCAAGAAAACAATACAATCCATCCAACATCTGTCTGCACACCTGCAAAGAATTAAGGTTACAAAACTTAGCAAAAGCATACATATATACATTCAGACAGATAAACAAACACCCACCTATATATACCTGGTGATCACTCAGAACCCCTCGGATCTGAACACCTGTCTGTGTGCGGTTGTGAACAAGCATAAATTTATAGGATTTCTCCAACGTAATGTATAATAGTAACTGTGGGGGAGTCTCAGAGCCGACCGCCAAGGCACGAGGCAGACATAAGGGGAGGCCAGAGCCAACAACCCCAGGAGGAACCCCAAGCACCGGGCCCCCAGGTACACCTACCTGAGGAGAGCCGCACACCCACCCCCAGGTCAAACCATAGGGCAGACCCAGGAGAACCCCACCAGCGACCACACGCAGCAGCCCCACAGCGCCTCGCAGCAACRAGCAAGCAGGCCCCCACCGGCCCCCGCTGCGCTAGGGCAAGCACGGGCATAGGCACGGAGGGCCCGGCCCCCAGGGCGCCCCCCACCCAAGCCGAGAGCCGACAGGGCCAGAGGACCCAAGCCCCGACAGGCAGCCACCAGGCCAAGCCAGCGCACACCTAAGCACCCAGACCCCAAGAGCCATCCACGCGCCGGTGGGCAAGGCACCCCCACCAGAGGGTGGTATGGGATGGGGGCAACAAACAAACCAGGGGAGGGGGAAGTCCACGTCCCAGCCTGACATATACCCATGCAGACACAAACACAATCATACAATCCCACCCTCATCCTCGCACCCACTCATTCAAAGACATACAATATAGACACCACACTCCATTCACACTCCCGATACACACTCTATACCCCCCAGGACCAGGGCATGCCCCCGCCCCCCACAGAGGGCGGCCCACACCCGAACCCAGGAGGTAAACCCATTTGTCCTGGGGTGGAGAGGAGCAGACGGCCAAGCCCCGGCCTGGACCGCGTCGACCCAACCGGCCACCCCCGCCCCAGCAAGGCCACGCCCCGACTATCCCCCAACCACCGCCAACGGCCAGGGGTACACCCCCAGCCGACACCCACCGGAACCTGGCGACCACCCCAGCCACTGGGCCGACCACACCAACCAGGAGCCACACCCCCGGAGTCCACGCAGCTCCAGAGAAACCAGAGTGTAAGCCCGCCCCCCCCAAGCTCCCAGTCCACCATCAGTCCAGGCCCCCACCCGGCGGCATGCCCCCACCAGGGCCCCACCCCCAGACGTCAGTCGGGAAACGGGGGAGTAAGAAATAAATAAATAAATAAAAGAAGACCC